AGATATGGTTCCCGATAGATAGACTCTCCAAAATTTAGAGAAAAAGAACAATGAAACATTCAGACAGTACGCTCAAAGATGGCGTGATACAGCGGCACAAGTTCAACCACCTCTATCAGAAAAAGAAGCCACAGTGATGTTCGTCCACACTTTAAAATCTCCATACTTAGGTCATTTAATGGGGAATGCAACCAGAAATTTTGCAGATTTGGTCATTTCTGGAGAACTCATTGAGAATGTCATGAAAAGTGGTAAAATTGAATCAAGTGAAGGGTCTAGTTCCAAAAGACCAATGTATTGAAAAAAAGTGAATGAAGTTAACAATGTGAACGCCAACAACAAAGATACCTCAAAAAGTGTTACGATAACCCAACCAAGGGTTAAGAATGAGGAAACAAACACTAATCGAACGGAATCCAGAGGATCTTGCAGGGAAAATGAGAGGCGTTTTTTTCACTATTACCAGTACCCTATGATGAGATCTATGATTCACTATTAAAGGCTAATGTAATACGACCTTATCCATTGATTCTTATGCAACCACCATTTCCTCCATGGTATGATATAAAAGCACATTGTGTTTATCATGACGGAATTACAGGTCATTCTATTGAAAATTGTTTGGCATTCAAAAGAGTGGTCCAAAATTTAATTAATACTAGGAGACTGGAATTCAATTCACCATCTACGTCAAATCATCCGCTGCCAAATCATGGAGATAAAAGCGTGAACGCAATCCAGGAAGAAAATAGAAGGAAAGCAAAAACTGATGTTTCTGAAATTAAATCTCCATTTGGTTGGATATTTCAATAACTTTCCCTATCTGGTATGATTTAACAACAATTCAAGCCAAAACCTAATGAAGGCGAAAATTATTGTGAATATCATCAAGAAAAGGGTCATGGAATTTAATTATGCCTTGAATTTAGGGGATTGGTGCAAAAACTGATGAATGAAAAAGAGATAGAGTTCTTTAAAGAAGAACTAGGAAAAAGAGAAGATGACGTTTGTGCATCAAAAGATTCTAAACCTAAGCAGGGAACAAGTGATCCCGTGATTATCACTGTGAATCATCTATAGTAAATCCTACACCAACAAAGTCGAAAGTGGTTATCACAACTCCTTTACCATTTCCATATAAAGATACCCGCAAGGTACCTTTGAATTATACTACCAATGTTTCAATGGTAGGAGGATCTGTTTCTTTGGAAAAAGCAGAAGAGAAAGTACAGAGTGTGGATTCGACGTCTGAAGTAGTAAGTAAAGTCAGATTCTTTACAAGAAGTGTGAGGTGTTACTCTCCCGAGACATCGAATGGATCAGAACAAGCAAAAGCAAAGGGAAAAGCTGCAGTGATACCCCCAAAAGGTATTTGATGATGAATCCCCGCCAACAGTCAATGAGCCCGTAACGGAAAAACAAGCACAATAATTTTTGAAATTTCTGAAACATAGTGAATATAGTGTGGTTGAATAGCTACATAAACAACAAGCATGAATTTCAATTCTTGATCTATTGATGAATTCAGAAGTACACATAAATGCCTTGATGAAAATGCTTAATCAAACATTTATCCCTGAAGATATATCTCTCAACAAGCTTGACAGGATTATAGGGCAAATAGCCGTTGATAATTACATAACATTCACTGATGATGAAATACCTGAAGGTGGAATGGGATCAGTGAAAGCTTTGAATATTATCACGCGTTGTCATGGCTATGTATTGCCAGTAGTACTGATTGATAATGAATCTGCTCTTAACTTAATGCCTTTGGTTACACTTCAAAGGATTCCAGTAGATAAATCGCACATGAAGAATTATCAGAATATATTGCGAGCTTTTGATGGCACGCAAAAGGAAGTAATGGGAAAAATGGAAATACCATTGTTGATCGGACCAATAGTATACAACGTCGACTTTGTGGTAATGGATATCCACCCTACATATAATTGTTTATTGGGGAGGCCGTGATTCATTCTACATGAGTTGTTTCTTCCTCGTTGCATCAGAAACTGAAGTTTATTGTTGACGGTCAACTGATATGTGTAGGAGCCGAGGAATAAATCATTGATTTTGTAACAAGTGATGCTCCGTATATTGAAACAAATGATGATGCTCTCGAGTGCTATTTCCGAGCTTTGGAATTTGTCAATGCAACATTTATTGCTGAGGGAAGCAAAATTCCACATCCTAGATTGTCTGATTGCACCAAAATGACTGTACGACAGACTTTAGGCATAGGAGCTAAAATTGGGAAAGGTTTGGGAAAGAATCTTCAGGGAAGTTCAGTTCATGTAAATGTGAAGATGAAGAAAGATCGTTTTGGGCTTGGATTTAAGCCCAACTTTCAACAAAGAAACAAAGAAATGAAAAGAAGATGTGAAGACAGAAGGGCAAGATTAAAAGGAGAAGAAATTCCATGGGAACACGTGTCTTTCCCTCATTTGAAGTCCACATTCAAATCCGAAGGAATGGTTAATGTAGAACAACAGCTTGTTGATGCTCTTAAAGAAGAAAAGTTAACGAAAGATCAAAGCATGGTTGAGGAAGCTATGAAAGGATTAGTTATCAACATGATCACAAATGACCACAAGACTGGCAAATGCTTAGCTGGGATTCGCCCTTGTCTTCCTGGTGAAACGCTCAACAATTAGACTGTTGAAGATCTCCCTGTAGTTTTTAGTATTAATTCAGAGTAATACTCAGAACCAATCTTTATGCTTTTGCCCAAGAATATAAAAAGTTTTTGTTATCTTGTAAGGGAAATTATGTTAAGTTCACTTAATATCAAATATAAGAAGTTTTCTTAAAATTCTCAAATGGCAATCATTCTTTATATTTTTTACATTTTTACATTCATTATTTCTCATTCTTTATATTTATTTCATAAATTTACTATATCCTTTCGGAAATATGTCCGACTTAAATTTGCAGGTGTCACAATGTTAATAGCATGATTATTCATAAATTCAATCATGAGATAAATTTAGAGTGACATGTATGTTTGGAAGAAATCAATGAGTGTGAGGATGAAGAAAAATGTGATATTCCTACCGAATTGTTAAGACTGGTAGAAAAAGAAGATAAACAAATCTTACCTCACAAAGAAGTGATTGAGGATGTAAATCTGGGAACCAATGAAGAAATGAAAGAGGTGAAAATTGGTACTACTTTGTCAGCCCAGATAAAACGAAAATTGATAAATCTCCTCCAAGAGTTCAAAGATATATTTGCTTGGTCTTATCAAGATATGACTGGTTTGAGTACGGATATAGTGATGCATAAACTTCTGATTAGTCTAGAATATAAACCTGTTCAAGAAAAGCTCAGACGAATGAGGCCAGAAATGTTGTTGCAGATTAAAGAGGAAGTGATGAAGCAGATTAATGCAGGTTTCCTACAGGCAGCCAAATATCCAGAATGGGTAGCCAACATAGTTCCAGTGCCAAAGAAGAATGAAAAAGTTCGAATGTGTGTGGATTACAGAGATTTTAACAAAGTTAGTCCGAAAGATAGCATTTCGTTACCTCACATAGACACATTGGTGGACAATACTGCAGGACATGCATGGTTTTCATTTATGGATGGCTTTTCATGATATAATCAGATAAAAATGAACCCTGAGGACATGGAAAAAAACAACATTTGTAACCATGTGAGGCACATATGTTACAAAGTAATGTCATTTGGATTGAAAAATGCAGGGGCTGCCTATCAAAGAGTAATGGTAACTCTGTTTCATGACATGATGCATAAAGAGATTGAAGTATATGTGGATGACATGATTGCCAAGTCCCAAACCAAATAAGAACATATTCTAAATTTAATAAAGTTTTTCCAAAGATTGAGAAAGTATCAATTAAAGCTCAACCCCGCTAAATGCACTTTTGGGGTAACGTCAGGGAAGCTTTTGGGATTTATAGTCAGCCAAAAAGGAATCGAGATTGATCCAGATAAAGTAAAAGCAATTCAAGATATTCCACCACCTAATACAAAAAAAGAAGTTTGAGGCTTTTTGGGGAGATTAAACTATATATCTTGATTCATTTCTCAATTAACTGACAAATGTGATCCAGTGTTCAAGTTACTTTGAAAGAACAATCCTGAAGTCTGGAATGATGAATGTCAAGAAACTTTGGATATTATTAAGAAATATTTATCCAATGCCCCCATTTTAGTATCACAGTGCCTGATAGACCGTTAATTCTTTACGTGACAGTCTTTGAAAATTCGATGGGATGTGTACTGGGACAGCATGGTGAATCTGGAAGAAAAGAAAAAGCCATTTATTATATGAGTAAGAAGTTTACTGATTGTGAAATTCGATACCCACCAATACAAAAATTATGTTGTACCTTGGTGTGGGTTACTCGAAGACTCAGACAATACATGTTATATCATACCACTTGGTTGAGATCTAGACTTGATCCTTTAAAGTTCTTAATGGAATCATCTGCTTTAACATGCAAAATGGCTAGATGGGATGCGTACTGGGTTAATTCTTTACGTGACAGTCTTTGAAAATTCGATGGGATGCGTATTGGGACATCATGATGAATTTGGAAGAAAAGAAAAAGCCATTTATTATATGAGTAAGAAGTTTACTGATTGTGAAATTCGATACCCACTAATACAAAAATTATGTTGTACCTTGGTGTGGGTTACTCGAAGACTCAGGCAATACATGTTATATCATACCACTTGGCTGATATCTAGACTTGATCCTTTAAAGTTCTTAATGTAATCATCGGCTTTAACATGCAAAATGGCTAGATGGCAGATGTTATTATCCGAGTTTGATATCATATATGTCAACCAAAAAGCAATAAAAGGAAGTGTCATAGCTTTATTTTGATGGAGCCTCCAACGCCTTGGGACGAGGAATTGGGGTCGTGTTAATTTCTCTAGAAAATATTTATTATCCTTTTACAAGTAGATTGGAGTTCATTTGCACCAATAACATGGCGGAATATGAAGCTTGTGTCATGGGATTGAAGGCAGCCATAGAAAGAAAAATTAAATTTCTCAAGATATACGAAGATTCATCGTTAGTGGTGTATCAACTACGAGGAGAATAAGAAACGAAAGATCCCAAATTGCTGGAATACTGAGATTTTACCCTCAAATTAGTGAAAGAATTTGAAAGTGTCACCTTCAATTATCTCCCTCGAGAGGAAAATCAAATGGTAGATACTTTGGCTACATTAGCTGCTATGTTTCAAGCAAATAAAAATATTGATATGATGCCGATTAAAATGCAAGTATATGAAATTCCTGCATATTGCTACAGTGTGGAAGAAGAGGCAGATGGCAAGCCATGTTATTATGATATCTTGCAATATATCAAGTATCAAAATTATCCATAAAATACATCTGAGATTGATAAAAGAACATTGAGAAGAATGGCTGATGGATACTTTCTTGATGGTGAGACTTTGTATAGAAGAAGCATTGATCAAATGCTATTGAGATGTGTAAATACTAGCGAAGCTAGAAGCATTATTGAGGAAGTACACAGTGGGATATGTGGAATACATGCAAATAGTCTTTCTATGGCTAGAAATATAATGAGATATGGATATTATTGGGCTACCATGCATATAGATTGCATTGATTTTGCAAGGAGATGTCATAAATGCTAGGTATATGCAGATAAGATTCGTGCACCTCTATCGCCTTTACATGTAATGATAGCACCTTGGCCATTTTCTATGTGGGGAATAGACGTCATTGAGGCAATCACGCCAAAAACATCAAATGGACATTGTTTTATCCTAGTGGCAATTGACTATTTTACCAAGTGGGTTAAAGCTGCTTCATATGCTAATATTAAGAGGTATACAATTTGCAAATTTATAAAGAAAGAAATAATCTGCCGGTATGGGCTACCAAAGAGAATCATTACAGATAATGCTTTGAACTTGAACAACAAAATAATGACTGAACTTTGTGCACAGTTTAAGATCAAACATGCAAACTCAGTGACATATCGCCCAAAGATGAATGGGGCAGTTGAAGAAGCAAATAAGAACATCAAGAGAATCATTACAAAGACTACTGAAACTTACAAAGATTGGTACGAGAAGTTACCTTTTGCTTTATATGCATATCAAACTACTGTGTGAACATCTACTGGGGCAACGTCTTTTTCTTTAGTCTATGGGATGAAAGCAATCTTACCGATTGAAGTTGAGATACCATCACTTCGAATCTTAAGAGAGGTAAAATTGGATGAGTCTGAATGGATCCAAGCTCGATTTGATCAATTGAATATTATTGATGAGAAGAGATTAAAAGCCATTTGCCATGGACAGATGTATCAGAAACGAATAATGAAGTCTCATGACAAGAAAGTACATCCGAGAGAATTTCAAGAGGGTGATCTAGTGCTGAAAAAGATCTTGCCTATATATAAAGATTTCCGTGGGAAATGGATGCCTAATTGGGAAGAGACCTATGTTGTAAAAAAGACCTTTTTTGGAGGAACATTGATTTTGGCATAAATGGATGGAAAAGTTTTGAGAAACCCAATAAATTCAGATTCTATCAAGAAATATTATGCTTAAAGAATAAAAATAAAACAAAAAAATAAAACAAATAAAATAAAAATAAAATAGAAAAAAAAAGGTCAAGATGAAAACCCGCAAAGGGCGTCTTGCAACCAAATGAAGGATTTGAGTTGAAAACCTGAAAGGGCTGCTCAAATACATGTTGATATTAGGCATCTGGTAATTAAACCCTCTTAAGAGTTTAATATTTTGGGAGAAGCTTTATATCTACAAGCATTCTGGCAACGTTCGAGATCTTCCAGACATAAGCTTACCTCAGTGCTCTAAATTATATCAAGTTGATTAGTTTAGAAATACTTATGCTAATAATTTGTTGAGTCATTTGAATTTTTATCATTCCTATGTTTGCCATGACTTTGAATACATTTCTATATATTAATAGATTCCAAGTTTATCTTTTCGAAATTCAATTTATTTTCGAAATTCAATTTATTCTTTTATATAAATATCTTGCAAATGGATTAACATAATTTTGAAATAAGCAAAAGATTTATGGCTATTACTTTATGTTAATACTTTTAAGTGCATGAAATCCAAAGTAAGTTTTATCAACATTTGCAATCATAGAATCAGTTGGAAGCAAGTAAAACAGAAAAGCAGAAAAGAAATTCTGAACAAGGAGAATTGGACAGTGTTCTTTGAGCAAATATTTCCAATCAAACAGAAAGGTATGAAGAATGAAAATGGTGAAACAGTGACAGTGGAGCTTTGATGCTGACAGTTAAAGTATTTCACTTATATTCCCACCGAGCATTGTTCTTTAATAACATCATACAAAAGCTCTGAACACTATGCAAAGACTTCATTGATTGAAAAATCTAGGCATAAGCCACAGGAAAAGATGAATGTATTGTCAAATGTTTTACGAACCAGTAATTATGGTGCTAAACCAATGTTACGATCATATGGTGTTTCCATTTATTGATCCAAAATGAAGTTTGTCTTCTTCAACACCAAGCTTTGAAGTGAGATATGATGAAGATTTTTTCCACATAAGTGAAGCTAAAATTTTAACAAGAAACTAGTGGAGCCAACTAAGATTGAACATCAGATTGTTGTTAAGCATCTCGACATAATATGGTCTGAATAGCTTTGTTCAATATCCAATTAGATGCGGAGACATGAAAGAAATTAGAATAAATCCTCCTTCTGATGTGTTTCAAAAATCAGAACATATTGCTCTCTTAATTTATCTCTACTAAGTTTGGCATATTTACATCTACATTCTTCAAAGATGATACATTCTTCAAAGATGATAGATTCTCTCTCCAAAGATGATAGATTCTCTCTCCAAAGATGATAGATTCTCTCTTCAAAGATGATAGATTCTCTTTTCAAAGAAGAAAGATTTATTGGATTTATATACAAGTTCAGAAAAAAAAATCGATTTATCAAAGACCAAATGGGGCATCAAGGTCATAGTTCTAACTACGATGAGAGTTCCAGTTTGAAATGATTTTGAATAAGTGAAAGAAGACAGAGTTCGCCACTTTAATATCAAATAAAAATGAACTTAATATTCATGCATCATATTTAGACATTTGCAAAAATAGTGGTATTTTCATTCATTTTATTCATGTTGAATATTTGACAGGAATTTCAAAGATTTTAGCAAAGATTCGAATCCATCATTCAATGAATCAACATTTTCAGAAGAGTTCATAATGAGAAGAACTCATCTAAAGAGGAAGAAGAAGTTCATAATGAGAAGAGCTTGTTTAACCTTTTGCATGACTCTATCACAGAAGGAGATAGATCAACATCAACATTTTCAGAAGAGTTCATAATGAGAAGAACTCATCTGAAGAGGAAGAAGAAGTTCATAATGAGAAGAGCTTGTTCAACCTTTTGCTCGATTCTATCACAGAAGGAGATAGATCAGCATCAACATTTTCATAAGAGTTCATAATGAGAAGAACTCATCTGAAGAGGAAGAAGAAGTTCATAATGAGAAGAGCTTGTTCAACTTTTTGCATGACTCTATCACAGAAGGAGGTAGATCAGCATCAACATTTCCAGAAGTGTTCATAATGAGAAGAACTCATCTGAAGAAGAAGAACTTGTTCAACCTTAATTTGATTTATCACATATTGAAGTTGAATTAACAATACCTCTTTTGAAGGTCAATATTTCCAGAAGAGTTCATAATGAGAAGAACTCATTTGAAGAAGAAGAAGTTCATAATGAGAAGAGCTTGTTCAACCTTTTGCATGACTCTATCACAGAAGGAGATAGATCAGCATCAACATTTCCAGAAGTGTTCATAATGAGAAGAACTTGTTCAACCTTAATTTGATTCATCACATATTGAAGTTGAATTAACAATACCTCTTTTGAAGGTCAATATTTCCAGAAGAGTTCATAATGAGAAGAACTCATCTGAAGAATAAGAAATTCATAATGAGAAGAGCTTGTTCAACCTTTTGCTAGATCTTGTCGAAGAAAAAGATAGATTATCATATTATCATCCCCAGTAGAAGAATGGAAGAGTTCATAATGAGAAGAACTAATCCCCAAAGAATAACTTATTCAACCTTTCAATCTTAATCAAGAAAAGTCAAATGAAAAAAAACTCATTGTCTTTTTTCGTCTTTGCCCTATTCTTATTAACACAAGAATGAGCAAAGAGGGGCAACTGTAGACATCAGTTTTTTTTTCATTTTATTTATTTATTTATTTATTTATTTATTTATTATTATTATTATTATTAAATATTATTTACATTACAGGCCCAAAACCAAACCGGACCGGCCCAATTACAAGAGTCCAACCCAGACCGGCCCAATAAAAAACCCCTAAACCCTTTAGGGTTTTCATCCAATACCCCAACCACCACAGATCCTCAGCCGTTGGATCTAACCTTGATCCAACAGTCCACATGGTTCCAAATGAAACCCTAGGGTATCATCACCCTAGGGCCACGACGCCGACCGCCTCTCTGACACCTCCACCAGCCGCTGCCACGCTTCAACAGGAGCCTCCAGAAGATTTGAAGAAAACCGTCCACATTGAGGGCTACGGTGAGTCACCACTATAGTTTGGTGACTCGCCAAACTCCAACCCTTTTACCCGGTCCGAGACGATCACCGGTGATGGTTATAAAGCCATCGACCGAACCTGCAAAATAAAGACATAGAGCAACAGAGAAGAAGACAACCACCAAAAACCACCAAAACATCAAAACTAAAATTAAGAGAAACCTTACCAAGGAAGCTGCGACGCCATCGGAGACTCCACGCGCCATCGAAAGCCTTCGAAAACTGAAGGTATTTTCGTAGATTTGCTCTGATTGAGAGCTTTTTAAAGGAAATAGAGGTCATATTCGGCCTTAGGGCGACGAGATCTAAATTTTGGGGTAGTTTGGTAATCTTCGGCCACCGGAGACGGTGGCCGGCAGCGACGATCGGCGCCGGAATACGGCGGCCGACCTTCCTCCGA